AAATATAATATCAGGGGACTACTATACTATCGTGAAATGTATTAGAACAATACCCTCCCCCTCATCCAAATGAGTATGTACCCTAAAAAAAAATTGCCTGGCTATTCATTCAGGTGAGTCGTGGAATGGGAACTCCTGGTGTAGAGAAATCTAACGAAGCTGGTACACGAAGTAAAAACTCTGAAACTTTTTTTCACGTTAATTTTACTTTTGTCTGGTCTAATTAGGCTTCGTGTGCATGTAATAACACCGTCTGCCAGAATTAACTCCCATGAGTGATAATTTATTATCTTATGAAAATCGGAAGAAAAAAAAGATATTTGAATAGCCGATTTAAAGCAATCTTGAAGTTCAGAAAGTAGAAGATTCAGGCTTAATTCCACTTTTTGATTTGACTTGAGAAGAATACCGATCATCCATGCTAAAATAATCAACAATCCAATTATTCCTGTCTTGTTATGATCAAACTGGATTAGGTACACTTTTTAAGCGGTATAACGGTTGGGTTAATAATGTGTTTTAGTACAAGTTAGAGTTGTAGATAATTACTCGATTAACAGAATAGTTTCTTCATTTATTAAACTCTCTTGTAGCTTCGTAAACAATTCTCTGTGATTTTGTGAATACATTTGAGAAAGAATGGTCTGTGACCTATTTCTTACGTGCTGGGCTATCGTACGGAAGGTCCAACGTTCGACCCGTGATATGTCACTGAACGTGCTCTCCCCTTTGAGCTATGAAACTTTATAAATGTGAAATTTAATTCTATTATGAAACTGAAAGTGCCTAAAGGTGGGTTCTTTGGCTGGTTATCCTTCCTCTGGTCAACAGTTGTAAGTTAGGGATGGTTACCGTATATCTGGGCCTTAAGCCCATATGTTGCATAAGGTTTCGTTCATGTTGAAAATACCAAATACGAGATGTTTGAGAAGACAAAACTCATATTAAACGAGTCCAGTTTGGGAAGTTTCGTATGTGTTTTGATATGATTTTTGGATTATTTGGTCATAAGACTAAGTTATAACATATCATTATAATTTAGTGTAAAGAACAGAAACGCTAAAACTGAAAACCATAAAGCAGAGCACAGCAGGAAAACCATAAAGCAGAACACAGCAGGAAAACCATAAAGCAGAACACAGCAGGAAAACCATAAAGCAGAGCACAGCAGGAAGCGTCGTTTCATAACGAATACTTGTTTTTTGATTGCCTATAGTAAATATCTAAACGTTTATTTGTTAAATACAGCGCAATGTTGTTTTGCAATGAATGCCTTTATTTTTCAATTGAAAAAGAAAATGTATAGTGTATTTACGCACACACCCGGTAGTTCAATAGTAAATTTAAGGGTATATAACGCCAAAATTCGGGGTTCGATCCTGGCGGTAAAGCAAGGCTCAGCTAATTCACTGTGAAGCGCTTTTAGCTCATCAACACAGAAGCACAGAAATATTTGTTCAAAATAAGGCCACGTGGTTTCCAAATGAATACTTCCTAAAATATCACACATACACACATTAATGATTATATATTTAAAACTTTGTTTATTGCTTTGGGAGAGACATTTAAGCTTTTATTCAAGTTGGAAAATAACTACTCCGATTACTGAACAGAAGAAAGTGTATAATCTATTGAAGAACTAGCTTATTTTATGCATCATCAAAACTTACCATGAAACTCATGAAGGGAAATATTCCAATTATTCGTAAATAATGTATTATTTAAAAACAAAGTGAACAAGTTTCTGACTGGTTTTCCAATTTTGAAAAAAACAAATCTATTGGATATATAGTAGATATAAGTAAGTATAGGACATCGTTAAAAGAAAAAAATCTATTGGATATACAGTAGATATAAGTAAGTATAGGAAATCGTCAAAAGAAAAAATCTATTGGATATACAGTAGATATAAGTAAGCATAGGAAATCGTCAAAAGAAAAAAATCTATTGGATATACAGTAGATATAAGTAAGTATAGGAAATCGTCAAAAGAAAAAATATATTGGATATACAGTAGATATAAGTAAGTATAGGACATCGTACCAAAGAAAAAAATCTATTGGATATACAGTAGATATAAGTAACTATAGGACATCGTTAAAAAAAAATCTATTGGATATACAGTAGATATAAGTAAGTATAGGACATCGTCAAAAATAAAAATAAAATCAAGGGATGCGAAACAATTGTTGTGAGTTGCTTCTTACTGCTAATATTATTATTATTATTTATGCAGTGTCAATTTAACACAGAAGATAACGGGGTTACAGCTGTGGGGCCACAAAAAAGCTTTGAAGACCTTGAGAAGTTTGGAAAAATACATACAGTTCCATTGATGGGCATCTAAAACTACATTAGCACCCCCACCACCAATTGGCTTAATCAGGCCTTGCATTTATGGCATGAGTTTCAGAATGGTATTATATGCCATGCTGTTAAGTGTGAATGTGTTTTATCATAATATTACTACTTATTACGCTCGCCCTACGAATGTATTGCAACCGGGTCCGTGTGTCTGATCGTGTTTCTGCGCGCGTATCTCGAAAACTAATAGACCGATGTATACGAAAATTTTACACAAAATGGGAAATCAGTTTGATCCGGATTCTGGATCACTTTTAAGCATATTTTATAATGGGGAGATAGGGCATTTTCGCGGTTTTCGATTAGTAACTCTGTTAAGTGTGATCGGATTTCTACCAAATTTCATGGACACATTAAGGCTGAGATTCCTCATCACATCACGCTACACAAAAAATAATCAGAATCGTTTGTCATTCTGATCTGAGAAGGAGTTTCTGAGTTTTCGAAGGTGAAGTTATCCAATATAAACGCATACCATCCCGAAAAGGAGCGGCAAGGCGAAGGTACATAATGTGATTGTTCTTGTTACTTAAGTTATGGCATGAATCTGATGATAATGTTGCACCGGACGTGGCCTAGTGATTAACTTGCTTGGACCGTGATGCTTGGAATTGTAGTGCTTCCGAAGGAGAATAAAGACGTGAGAAAGATAAGCTCTTTAGAGTTTCCTGTATTTGTAAGGATCAGATTAATATTTCTCATAAATATTTGAATTGTTTTTTTTTTGGTTTAATTTTTGAATACAACAAATAACTCGGGTTAATATGCGTAGATTATATAATTCTTAATAAACTAATATCACTAGACTAGGCTTAGCGATTCTTTGTACCATTATTATATTTAACCGTATCTTTCAATATTAATCTTTACATGTTCATACTAACATACAATCTTTTCTTCATTAATAAATTGCCCCCAGTGGCACAGCGGTATGTCTGCGGACTTACAACGCTAGAATCCGGGTTTCGATACCCGTGGTGGACAGAGCACAGATAGTCCATTGTGTAGCTTTGTACCTAATTACAAACAAACAATCATTAATAAAAAAAGAGGAAGAAGGGAGATGACTACAACTCCTTATAATACAAAGATTGTAGGCAGCAGTTTTCACACCACGGCCAAAGAGGCTTCAATGTCATTAAGCCCACTTTGAATTCAAACTAGTCCTAAACCTGTTCTTTAATAAATACTGAACATAGCTAGTGGACAACAGCCACGAGTTAAATGAGATAGTTTATGATACGGAATATGAGTATACTTTGGAAAAAAAAAAGAATGAAGAAAGTAGAATAAGGGAAATAGAAAAGGATAAAGGAGTGAAATGAAAATTTACCCTAAATCTTTTGTAATGGTCGACAAGTTGTTGTGTATGTATTTGTAGCTCTCTTATATTTGTACTAATTCACTACATGATTACATATAGATGTAATTACAATTACTATCTACTATATTATATTTATATATTAGTAAATATGCCATGTTTTTATTTTAGGTACCTTGTAGAGTTATTAGTTTAGTAGGCTTATAATGTTTCCATATCAAGTACAGAATTAGTTAATGTTTTATTACAAACGGAGTTATCGGGTTCAGATATAAGCAAGAGTGCAGTGTTATTATGTGTTAATTATAGATGTAGTGTTTAGCTTAACTATAATTAATAGTTACCGTGTGTACTAACACTGTATTAATTATTGACTAATGTTAGAATTAGCTGGAACTTTGTTTTAATACGTATACAAGGAATCAATTCTGAAACAGTGCTTAATCTATTTGTAAGGTCAATCCCAGAGTTAGCCACCTGGATCTCAACACTAGGATGGTTGAATGGCTGTAATGTGCAATATACAATAACAGCTTAGACTTGGTACCAGATAGTGTCACACATGTTGACACATCATTAAGTGGAGAGGACACTTCGTCACACTCTGTTAACAGAGGGTATAAACAACACGGAGATTTTTAGTTGCCGTTTATAAGAAGGGTTTATCGGTGTATGGTCCTGCGCCAGGGAGGGTTCTTGGTGGTAGGAGGATATTTTGTTTACCAATTTCGTCAGTGTGCGCCCACCTTAAGAACGACAACCCACATTTTAATAGATTACTGGTTCACCCTCACTCACCTACCTTGTTAGGGCTAGGAACAGAAGTTATGAACAATGGGTGGTTAATGCATTGCCTTAAGATAATGATATGTTTTTCTTAAATGCGCCAAGACTAGTTTCTACTGGAACAACAAAGATTGTGCACTCAGCTTTTAGTCGGTAAATATGCGTAGCGTTTGTTTCTAAGAGAAATGAATCTGATTGTTATCATTCAACAATATTGCAAATAGAAAACTGAAACCCCAAACAGAATTCGAAAAGGCCCAACTGCTTGTAAAGGAGGACGCCTAATTACCCTATCAAGTTATTCGCTTCGAACTCTCACTTTTGAAATGACTGATTTATTGAACGGAAGTAAAACATATTATATTAGTCTAAACTAAGAGCCAACATTTAGTGGTGCAGCAATTAATAACAGAATAATATATTTTTTTCTCTGACTTTTAGGTGGTCTCTTCGAGTCTGGTGACGAAGTTTTACAATCGGCATTCCGCTACGCTGTAGATCGAGTAAACTCAGACAATTCTTTGCTACCTAATTCTCGGCTATCGGCTAACATCCAGCAGCTCGAGCATCAAGATAGTTTCCAAGCATCCCGCAAGGGTGCGTATATTATATTTATGCCAACCTTCTAATATTCTATAAATTTATTGTGTAAAAACAAGATATTTTAAACATTAGACTTGAGTTTATTTTGCAGTTTGAAATTAATTTCCAGTTCTGTATATGTAACCTAAAATACCAATATTTATATCCTAAGTGAACAGCTGAGATTTTAACATCTTGAATAAATATATTTTTAAGAAAGGTCAGGTTTAAGTGTCCTCCATGTCCCCCTTCAAAACAACTTTGATAGTGTAACGAGGTTGTCACTCAGTTATTTTAGTGAAATGTTTCTTTGATAATCCAATATCGGTAAGTCACAATTTGTTTAAATATTCTACTTTATTTTGAAATGTTTCTACAAAAACAAAAATATCCATCCTCAGTAAGTCAGAAGATCGGAGAAGAAGGAAGTTTCTTGAGATTATCTAAACAAAGTAAGTCAGATGATCAGTAAGATTTCTTTACTCTGTCGTTAATCCATTACATCAGATGATCAGTAAGATTTCTTTACTCTGTCGTTAATCCATTACATCAGATGATCGGTAAGATTTCTTTACTCTGTCGTTAATCCATTACATCAGATGATAGGTAAGATTTCTTTACTCTGTCGTTAATCCATTATTTGTTGATTGGCAAGATTTCTTTATTCTGTCTTTAATCCATTATCTGTTGATTGGCAAGATTTCTTTATTCTGTCTTTAATCCATTATCTGTTGATTGGCAAGATTTCTTTATTCTGTCTTTAATCCATTACATCAGTTAATCGGTAAGATTTCTTTACTCTGTCGTTAACCAATTATCTGTTGATTGGTAAGTTTTCTTTACTCTGTCGTTAATTCATTACATCAGATGATTGGTAAGATTTCTTTACTCTGTCGTTAATCCATTACATCAGTTGATTGGTAAGATTTCTTTACTCTTTCGTTAATCCATTATTTATTCATTGGTTAGATTTCTTTACTTTGTCGTTAATCCATTACATCAGATGATTGGTAAGATTTCTTTACTCTGTCGTTAATCCATTATATCAATTAATCGGTAAGATTTCTTTCTTCTGTCCTTAATCCATTATCTGTTGATTGGTAAGATTTCTTTACTCTGTCGCGAATCCATTGCTTGTTGATTAGTAAGCTTTCTTCACTCTGTCGTTAATCCATTATCTGTTAATTGGTAAGATTTCTTTAGTCTATCGTTAATCCATTACATTAATTAATCGGTGAGATTTCTGTACAATGTGGTTAATCCATCATTTGTTCATTGGTTAGATTTTTTTACTCTGTCGTTAATCCATTACATCGGTTGATCGGTAAAATTTCTTTACTCTGTCGTTAATCCATTATCTGTTGATTGGCAATATTACTTTACTCTGTCGTTAATCCATTATCTGTTGATTGGTGATATTTCTTTACTCTGTCGTTAATCCATTGTATCAGATGATTGGCAAGATTTTTTTACTCTGTCGTTAATCCATTATTTGCTGATTGGTGAAATTTCTTTACTTTGTCATTAATCCGTTACATGAGTTGATCGCTAAGAGTTCTTTACTCTGTCATTAATCCATTACATCAGTTAATCGGTAAGATTTCTTTACTCTGTCGTTAATACATTACATCAGATGATTGGCAAGATTTCTTTACTCTGTCGTTAATACATTACATCAGATGATTGGCAAGATTTCTTTACTCTGTCGTTAATCCATTATTTTCTGATTCGTGAGATTTCTTTACTCTACATTAATCCATTACATGAGTTAATCGCTAAGAGTTCTTTTCTCTGTCATAATCCATTACATCAGTTAATCGGTAAGAGTACTTTTCTATGTCGTTAATCCATTACATCAGTTAATCGGTAAGATTTTTTTTACTCTGTCGTTAATCCATTATTTGCTGATTGGTGAGATTTCTTTACTCTGTCATTAATCCGTTACATGAGTTGATCGCTAAGAGTTCTTTACTCTGTCGTTAATCCATTGCATCAGTTGATTGGTGAGATTTCTTTACTCTGTCGTTAATCCATTACGTCAGATGATTAGCAAGATCTTTTTACTCTGTCGTTAATCCATTATTTTCTGATTCGTGAGATTTTTTACTCTACATTAATCCATTACATGAATTAATCGCTAAGAGTTCTTTACTCTGTTATAATCTATTACATCAGTTAATCGGTAAGAGTATTTTTCTATGTCGTTAATCTATTACATCAGTTAATCGGTAATATTTCTTTTTCTCTGTCGTTAATCAACTTTCTGTTGATTGGTAAGATTTATTTACTCTGTCGTTAATCCATTACATCAGTTAATCGGTAAGATTTCTTTATTCTGTCGTTAATTCATTATCTGGGTATTGACAAAATTTATTTACTCTGTCGTTAATCCATTATCTGTTGATTGGTGAGATTTCTTTATTCTGTCGTTAATTCATTACATCAGTTAATCGGTAAGATGTCTTTACTCTGTCGTGAATCCATTTTCTGTTGATTGATAATATTTCTTTACTCCGTTGTTAATCCATTAAATTAGAAATTTGGCAAGAGTTCTTTACTCTATTGTTAATCCATTTTCTGTTGATTGGTAAGATTTCTTTACTCTTTCGTTAATCCATTAAATTAGATGATTAGCAAGATTTGTTTATTCTATTGTTAATCCATTACATCAATTGATCGGTAAAATTTCTTCACTCTTTTTTTAACCCTATCACTATCCAATGCATCACGTGTTTCACAGGACATAATGCTAAAGTACATGAGTATCACAGCTACATTTATTTGATATGTAGCTAATGCTCGTGAACGTGGGAATAAGAACTGGTAGTTTGGTTCAACGTATGAAATTAACGATGATAGGTTAAGTTACTTTCACTCAAAAGAAAATGTAAACCTAGAACAAATACAACAATTTTCGTATTAATTCTTTACATTTTCATCAGCCGTTACACTAATTTTCCAACAGATAAATAATGTTTATAAGTTTAGAAAAAACAAGCTTTATGAGTGCATTAACAATATAAGACACAGGGAAAGGACTAATCCATTATATCAAATGTCAATAAGACTTCTTCACTTTTTTCTTAATGCATTAAATCAGATGGTCGATAGGATTTCTTCACTTTAGTCTTAATACATTAAATCAGATGATCGTCAGAGTTCTTCGCTCTATTTTTAATCCTTTGAATCAGAAGTTCGGCGAAATTTCATCACGATTTGCCCCCTAGTGGTACAGCAGTATGTCTGCGAAGTTGCAACGCTAGAATCCGGGTTACGATACCCGTGGTGGTCAGAGCACAGATAGACCATTGTGTAGCTTTGTGGTTAATTATAAACAACAAACAACATCATCACGATTTCCCACAGACAGGAAATCAGAATAGGCTAAGTTAGAAATACAAACGGACAGACATTGCATCTAATGAACTCAAGGTTCAGCATTTGCAACCATTCAATATCCCCGAATTACTTCAGTAATTAAACTGATAAACCACATACATCTTGATAAAACACGTGAACATTGTAAAGAACAATAAGAAATAAAATAGTTAAGCTTGGATAGCAAGATAATGACATTCAAAGTTGAGGACTTTATTTTCAAGTTACGTCAGCTCTCATCAGTCTAGTTATTATCAAACTTCATAATATAGGAACATTTACATTTCTCTTCTTTGCCTTTTATGATGTCTTCAGAATATGCAATTCTTTGAGCTGCGAAGATTTCTATTTTAACTAAAACCCTATAATTGTGTCTGCATTTGGATTTGGTATTGAACATTTAAGTGTATCTATTAAACAGTGATATACGAGTATAACTCTGTGTGTGTGTGTTTATTTTATTACATATTTTATCTTCTCACATTAACCAATGCTGCCTGATTGAGAGAGTTTCCGCCACTCTTTACTTACAACCTGTTGGAAACATTCAAACTCCTAAGTCGTATTAATTTTAGATCTTCTGAATCAGCTTAACGGGCTCAGTAAAATAAATAAAGAAGAGTCTTGCGCAAATAGCGATTTACTTGGCAAACACTCTTTTCGTCGGTAAAGCCTGCCAAAAAGCAAAAAGATAAACAAAAGTTGGCCATTCAAGGACGCTGAGCAGTGACACGCAAATATTTAATTATTCTGATTTAAAATTGGCTTTATTAACATATTCACTAACAAGATGATAAATTAAATCATTAAAAAACTAAAATCATAAATAAAGTTCAAAAATAAATAACCTACTAGACATTTTGGGAACTGGTCGACAAAAGTAAGCAAGCTGAGTTATCTTAATTCTTTCACCCAAATCCAGCTTGATCCGGTCAGGTTAAAAGTCTCTTATCTTGTTTGATCAACTGAAAGATACAAGAGTTTCTTGTAAAAGTTGTTTCGTCACTTACGTTAGTATTTTTCTTCTTTACTAAATATTTCACAAAGTTTGTTTGTTTGTTTGAAGTTAAGCACAAAGCTACACAATGGGCAATCTGTGCTCTGCCCACCACGGGTATCGTAACCCGGATTCTAGCGTTGCAACTTCGCAGACATACTGCTGTACCACTAGGGGGCAAATCGTGATGAAATTTCGCCGAACTTCTGATTCAAAGGATTAAGAATAGAGCGAAGAACTCTGACGATCATCTGATTTAATGCATTAAGAAAAAAGTGAAGAAGTCTTATTGAGATTTGATATGATGGGGGGGGGGGCTTTTCACAAATAACAACAACTTGCTCATCCTTTCAGCAGGATTCTAAGAGCAATTATTATTATCAATAGTTAAGACTGATATATAACGATATTTTCTTCAGATGAGGGGATTAGATTAGATCTGTATCTTATTTTCACTCGCCTCTTTCTTTTAAGAAAAAATATGCTTAAAAAGCGTGGTATATCTTTCTCTGTCTATTTGTCTGCAGAAATGGCCCATAAAAAAAAAGACAGTTCAAGCAGTCTTGCGTCTTTGCCACCTAGTGGCATAGTGGTAAGTCTACGGAATTATAACGTTAAAAAACCAAATTTCGATACCCGT